CGGTTCTTCCACGCGCTTTCGTCTCAAAGGTAGGGCGCGATACCATCGAGAAACGAGCGACCGCGCGACCGCGCCGAGTCCACGTCATCCCGCAGTCTTTCGTCCTTACGTCGCTTAATTGATCAAGCTCCTCGCTAGGCCGGCCAGACGTACGCTCGGTGGCCTTTGCCATAACCGGACTAGTTGATCAGGCGCCTCGGTTCCCCGCGTTCGACCAAAGTGTAGCAGCTTAATATTCTTGTCTTCCTACACATACGACTATGTACGAACTTTGTTGAAACCCTATGAAACTACTCCGATAGATCGTACTCTTAACGCCGCGACTCGCTTTTCCCCTTTCCATCGGTTCCCATTTCATTAGCAATCGCGCAAACCCTTTCGAAATATTAGTGCCTTTGACCAGCGCGCCTGTTCACGTACTCGACACGCATGCAAACACGTGCACTACTTTCGGCGCGTAGTTTGATAGCACGGAATCGATCCGCTCGGCCGCTCGACTGACCTCGATTCTTTAGAAAAGTTTCTTTCCCAGCGAGCCGCTACTCGCACTGGCTGGACGAAGCTTAAACGGAAGGGAGTAGAGTGCAAGTTTCCGGTGGCGCGCGACCTCCCGGACGCGTTTAGCGTACAAAAGCAGCACAGGTGCGAGGATAATCCGCGGTTCGTGGCTATGCATATGCATTCCGGGATGCACACGAGTGCCCGATAAGGTATCGCGCTTCCTCGTCGGCTTGCCCGTGGGCTACGTCGCTGTAAATACGGACGAGACCCTTGGAGATTTGCAACGAGAGTGTATGCCGAGAGAAAAGAGAGTCGTCGTACGTTCCCGGGCTGTTCTTTCGTCGACCGCTTTAGCGCGCTCGCTCGAGCGCAGGACATCCCGAGAGAGTAACTAGACGCGCGTATTCTCGCGGTCCTCTCCCGGGATAAAGTCTCGTTTGCCTTCTTTACGTATTGGTTGGATTTTCTTCGGCGGGAGAGGTCAGACGAGAGACGTGGGAGAGCGTAGAACGGCGGTCGATGTTCGGAAATAGCCAGGAGAGATAGCGCAGGCTGTATCGGCTAATTGCATTACTGGCACTACTGACAGCATCATCGGAGCAACCTGCTCTCTCTTGTTGCGAGATCATACGCGTTTAGTTAATGTACGCGGTGCACAACCATTCCGTGCACTTAGCTCTGAGGTATTGGCTCGTAATTCTCTCCCTCGGCGTCTCTCCGCCGGCGCAGTCGACTCGCCGCCGACGCTAAACGCGTATGCATATTTATACGGGCCGAGTTTCAACGGGTTACTCGCTCGAAAATTAATTTCCACTTGGCCGCTTTCGAATCGCGCAACCCACGACGATACGGTCGTTACGCATCGCCGCTGAACGTCCGTACTCCCTGCGGTCTCAGTCTCTCCGCTATTTTCTAAGAATTCTACGAAAAGATAATGCATTTCTCGTTCTCGCCAATCGATTGCTATTTCCACTCGAACTTTCCGAGTAGCAAATAGTTTGCGAAGATGGAATACCTGGCATGTGCAATGAACGAGCCATTGCATCTTACTTACGAGTAGTACTCGATCCTTATGCAATAGCGAACCTTGGGTATTCGATTTGATTACAAGTAGATGTGTTGGGTTGGCAACTAAGTGATTGCGGATTTTGTCAATAACACCTAATGACCAACACTAACACCAATATATCGAACTCGATCGTACAGAACTGTGACGTTTATGCAGGTAACACGTCCGAATAAAATGGAAAATGCCGTCAATCGGTAACCTCGGTACTCCTGGGTGACTGGTTTTGGGGATTTGCATGGTCGAACGATATGTTTGTCGCGTTCTATCTCGAAGATGGTTTGTAATCTGGCGGAACGCGACCGCCGAACCATCGCGAACGTAACCAAAGGGAGATGGCGCAAGGGCGAGTAAGGACTCGGTTCGGCGGCTGTCCTTTCTTGTCTGCATTCCGCTTCGTTTCACCGATTCGGCCTTCCATTTTCCACGAACGAACGCCGCACGTCTACCGTCCAAGCGACGATTTAACCGGAAAAGCTCGTTTCGCTCACTGCAACGCGACCAAGAATAATGCCCCGCCATCGAATGAACTTTGTACCGGAAGCCGATGCGATAGAAATTGCAGGGAAACAAGGTTGTCGCACAGAGACAGAGACAGATATCTCTAATGAAAATCGAAGAGATCGAGAGCGCTGAATAAGCGGGCACGCGGACATCGAGCAGAATGAAACGAGGGTTTCTGCGGAAAACGTGGATAGGATTATAGCGTCATATACCCAGCCGCCGGCAAATTCAACTGCAATTCTTCCCGACGAAATTCGACAACGAATTGGGACACGCGATCGTTTAATTACGCCACTTCCATTTCGCTATCGCTTAACATCGATATTCCCTTCGACGAACACGCGACGCGACTTACTAAGAATTTTATCGGACGTTTCCATTCTGCATATATTCCGCGTAGCGAACAAACGCAACGAAACGATCGCTAGATAGTTCAAAGTTGCTTACAAATTGCTCAGACTCGGCAAATTATTCCATTTTGACTTAACACTTTGACTGCCACGTTGGTCATATATGACCGGCCACGATTTCTACTGTGACGCCACGGTGGTCACTGGTGACTGAAGCTTACAATTATAAAAACTGAACGAAAATTCACAGTTACGGCATTTTGAATATAACCGACAAATAGAAGATACTTTGAAATAAAGATTTGAACAATTAAATATCTTTATTAGAACATCAATGAAAAACATGAGAACAAATCTTGCATCCAACGGTGCATTGTGTTAAAATACATTAGGATAATAGGTGGATAATAGGTGGTCAGCTTTTTGGCCCGATTCTTAGCAATTTTTGATCCTAACTGTTTAACATTTTTTTATAGCACTCTCTGCAAAATTTTCGTGCCTGGTACGCTTGCCCTTCTTTCTTCTCCATTTCGCGTCGCAATCTTTGTCGAATAAGTATATTTGACGGTTCTGGGGAATGACACTGTGTAATGTGCATTGCGAGTGGCATTCTAAAATCTGATACCTTGATTTTTGTTTTTGTTGCTCGTTTATGGAGTATCATCGCGTTTGAAATTGATGTATTTAACAGTAACTCTAAAGCTAATTTTATATACCAGTTGAGAGTTCTTCTATGTGGTATAGAATATGCTATCGTTTGAACTGATAAATCTACAGCACATTTTCCTCTGTTGTAATCTACCACTACCATTGGTTTATCACAAATATTTTTTTTTCAACCGAATGTTTCGTCGAAATCATAAAAATGTCACGCTTGTCTCTTCACCTTACTATTATATATAGAATGAGCAAATACTGTTTACTAATATCTTCTACACGTTTCAACGATATATTCTGGACGTTTTGCTTACGACGAAATAACGAATGCGAATGGTTTGTTGAAATAAACGAAGCCTCGTTATAATATGTCGTTGTCAACTGTTACCAAGGCGCCACGGTGGTCACGCGATAGCCACCAATAAGATAAACGGTCCATCGAGGAAGAATGTTGTCTTACATCATCGATTTATTATTATTTTGCCATTATATGCTTTGAATAATAAAAATACTCCAGTGACGTCCTGAGCGAAACATGTGATTCCGGCGTGGCAAAGTGTTAAGGCGACATGCACTTGCTATTTCCATTGAAATAGCCACGTTAGAGAGAGAAGGCGTCCTATAGAACTTGCTGATATGTACATACTTGCAACTGTGAGGTATTTTTAGCGTTCTCAGCAGTACTGCTGGAGGACAAAGTATTGGCCAAGCGGGTTTCGATGGCTCGATGCGAATAGCCGCGTTTAAAAGATTGCGTCGCGTCGCTACAATTCAAAGGATCAAATGACGCACTGGCCGAAAGAGAACGCACGCCACCGTGCGATCGCGAGGAAATTCGTTCTAATCGAGCTTCCTCGAATCCACAGCATACAGATACGTGCGACGCGTGCTTCTGCCCCGGAGTTATCTGTCGGAGCACCAGCGCGCCGCGGCATGCTTTCTCGACGAGAAATTCTCGCCCACGCGTCTTCCTCTCCCGGCCTCTTGCACACCGAACGCGGTTTAATTTCCGAGAAAAAGAATCGATTTGCGGCTCTTGGAACTACCATCTACGCGAAGCGTGTGACGCATAGATATCGACTTTGTGTTTTCTGTGAGCGCGAGCAATCGGTCTGCGCCGCGCTGCGCCGGCCTTCTCTCGCCGAACGTAAATCATCCCGGGAATCGTGGCCCGCGAAAGAGAACGAGAAGGCGATCGGTCGACGAACAACGTAAATAACCAAGGACGAAGCCAATTTTCACCGACCGTATCGATCCGACGCGGTGTATATACCTGCTACGATGCAAGCTTTCTGGCAGCGACTCTTGTGCTCAACTCGGAGCACGGCCATCGCTCCGCGAAATAAACGGAAATGGTGTAATTGTCGCGTGATAATACCGCGACGATATTGGAATTATCGAGGTGGATGATATCGAGAACGCCTCGAGTCGCTGTCGATGAAGACGAGGCATCGAGTGCGTTTGCTTCGCAGCTCCGCTTGTTCCGCATCGCGAAATTTCAATTTCTTCTGCGGATTTCTATAATACACTCTGGACGATACTCTCGATTCTACGAGCTCTTTTTCTTTCCCTGTCTCTGTCTCTTATCTCATATCCGCTTTCGACCGACCCTTGATTCTCCAGTTATCGTGGAAAGAAAACGTTATAAACAGGTTTTGCAGAAGCTGAAACAAATGGAATCGAGACTCGTCTATTCGCGCGAACGACGCGTGCGCCGATTTATCAATTAATGTACGATAACGTATAATACAATGTAGAAAATTGTTCGTTCAGCTCGTTTGAACATTCGCTGAACGTTCTCTGCGGACGAGTACCGTGGCGTTCAAGACGACAAAATGCGGAAACGTGTACGCGTCGCGACATTCTCGATCGTAACCGTGAAAATACGTGTACGTGGACAAAACCACGGAGAAAGTACTAACCGAGGACGGCGAGCGTGATATCTCCTTCGAGGATGGTGGTGTCGTTCCTCGCCTGACAAGAATATCGTCCCGCGTCGGAGCTTCTCACCTTCTGCGCGTAAATCGTCTGGTTCGCGCTCTCCGGATACAGGATGAAATGGCTCTCCCCGCCTGGCCATGGATAAGCCCTGTTGTCCTTGTACCTGCAACAATCAGAGCGACAACCTTATTACCTTCGCGAAAAATTCGAATACACCACGCGAACCAATCGCTTCGTATTTTTTCTCTTGTTGTCTCTTCCCCTTCACACCTTTTCTCCGCTTAAATATAAACTATGCATGCTCGGCTCAAGCACAGTCCGTTCGACGTATTCACTTCTCGTTAATTTTACGAGATTCACGCTCGATCGATCTTCTGGGGCATCGTGCGAGGCCTCGCTCGTACTCGCTGGAAACGCGAACTCACCGCTACGGAGACCCACGCGGTGTTCTGCTCTAACGCGAGAAGCAAGTAAACGAATAAGCGTGTTCACTGGATCGGCTGATCGGTATAGTTGGCTATAAATTAGTGGATTAAGTGACCGATCAGGCGGCGACGAACGAATCTCGCTGCAAAATTTGTCACGTGAATCGATGTTGCTTCGATGTTATTCTCGAATGTATTTCCATTATACTTTGTGTGTTGTAACGTTTATATACATTATCATCTTTATTAACATGTCGAACACCGCGTCAGACAGATCTGGTTGTTAAATTATACGATACTTTAGAAAATGTTGGCAACATGTTGTAATATAAACAGGAATATTTATTCGTGATAATTAGTTACATATCAACTATAATTATAGACGATTTTGTAATATTAATATTCTTTCTCGCGAAGCAATTGAATTAAAATTGCTGATTTCTTAACATTTTTTCTAGCTGCTTGTCTACGTAAGTACTGCCGACCTTTTTTACTAACAATGGACGCGCATGCTTCTCCTTTCTTTTTCTTTTTCTTTTTCTTCGCCCTCGGGCCACGTGTATATCCAAGGAAGCTAATCGTTTCTCATCAGTCTAATGCATAATTGCCATCGTCTCTCGCGTCTTTAACTTTTGCATTTACGTACGTTGGGCAAAGTGAATTCTACGAAGACACGCCCGATACGAACACTTTCTGAAAAGATAAATGTAACGTGTTCCGTACAAAGTCTTTGCAGGTTGAATTTTCGAAAAGTCGAAACTACAACTCAAAGATTTTAGCTCTGTCGTTGAGGTTTCACCGTATCTACGCTTCGAACGAATAAATTCATTCTCGTCGCTGTTCGCATCATTTGCAATCGCAACCCTTTTTGCGACCAACGTGTTAATAAAGGGAGGTAAGCTTTTTACCAGCGTAAAGTAGGTGTAAGTGCAGAATGTTTACATCTGTAGAACGCAAGCACACACGTACGATGGACGAGTCGCGCGCGTTACAAAATTCTTCGAACCGAATTTCTGAAGGCACAGATGCTAGTACTAAAAAGATGGAAACAAGTGTAGTATGAGTTCGCGGTATTCCGTATACGATTCACGATGCTAGAATTAACCGATGATGATAGATAGCAAAGTGGAGGGAAGGTTCGTGCGAAACTAACGACCTCGTGGAGGCATAGAGATTTAACAAGTGTAGGAGAGGGGGCAATGAATAACGGTATTAGCACTTTTTGAAAGGAAAAACGAATTTACCGCGATTTTCCTTGGCTCGAGAGATCGCAATTTCAGCAACATCATACTTGTAGTAACGTATGGATTCTTAGAGTAGGGACAAGTAATGATGTTATATTTAGAGTTTAGTGTAGTTTAATAAGCGATACTCAATAACAACAGGACCGACTACAATATCGTCGTAAGTCGATTCACACTCTGTGACCTCTCGACTCACACTGCGCTTCTCAACTAACTTTCCGGCCGTTGTAGCATCTCTTCTGTTCTTTGCCAGGCCCACCGCACACGTGTTCCGCAGACGCTCGCAGCCAGGGTCAGGTAGGTCTTTTCTAACGAAACTAGGCACTGGAAAAGACCGAGGACGCATTAATAAACCCGACAGCCTCGGCTCTCGCGACATTGTCCATGGTTAACTCGATGTTTCTTAGGCCCTTTTCCCCGATACCACATACTTGTGCTGTAAGTACGATCAGCAACAAACATACTCTGTTCCAATTTATATGCTTCGAACCTAAGAAAACTATACTGCACGCTGTCAATGAACCATTTTCCTTTTTATTGAATTTTAACTGATTTGGCGGTCAGATAACGGACACATATTCTAAACGTGATTTAACAAAAGTGCGTCATAAGAATTTGAAGGTCCGAGGATTAGCAAAGTTGGAAGTACATCGCTCGACAAATCTCAATCTATACGCATCGCTACCGATTTGCTGGTGGTGGAAAGAGAAGTTTAATAGCGATGCGTGTGTAAATAAAGTAGTTTCTTGTTAATCAGTCTGCTTTTTTTACGCGAACATCCGTTACAGAGGTTTCGGCGATGCGACGATAGGCGCGTACTCGTCTTCCTATCTCGTGTGTTCGCGGAAAAGCGAGAAAACCAGCCCACTGCTCGTTCCTCGAGAACGCCAAGTTTGTTTGTTCTTGACTCTCCTCTACCTTTCCTCCGAGAACCCGTTATTTGCGTTCGGCAAAGACACTCGCATATTACGCGTGGCAAATTACGAACAACGAGAAACGCGTTGTTCTCTCAGCGACGTTTCTTCGACGCGACGTCTTCACGGCACGCGTCTCATCACGGGCTATGTGCATATCTCTTTGCTTTTGTCAAATTGATCGTCGAATATTCGGTCGATCGATACGTCGCTTTCGGTTGTACAATTATCATCAACTCTTTGAGTGCGCCAATTTTAGACCAAATCTAATCCCGACCGTGCAATTTCTGATAATATCACATTCTAATAATACACTCTTCCAGTGAGATTTCTAGTAATAATCTTTCGTCCATAAATTGTCAGATATTTTATGCAGCATTGCTGTTACAGAATGTACATACAACTTTATGTCATAATAGAGATATGAAATTTCATAGCATAGACTTGCACGTATATTACAATAGTTGCAGGATTAAATACCTTACGGATAAACAATAAGATTCAGTCAAGTCGTTTTGTCCGAAAATAAACAATTGCCCGCTGACTTATGGATGAGATATTACAAAACTTGCCGAATGAACGACATTAGCGCGTCTCGATGAAGTTGATGAAGCGAACAACGAGCCGCGCGAGCCGGTTAGAAAAATTCAATAAAGCCCTTGCAACGAGGCGGCAAATTACAGCGGTGCTCCTTATTTCGTGGAATAATTTCGGCGTACGTCCCGCTTCCGGCGACATGGCCGGTGATCGTCCTTTCTCGACTACTTTGCGGTAACTACGTGGAAACCTGCGCTTCCGACCTCGTTTTAAACGGCAAATAACGATCGCGCGGAACAGGGAACGGGAACGCGAACGGGAACGAGAGCGAGAACGGGAACGGGAACGGGAACGGGAACGGGAACGGGAACGGGAACGGGAACGGGAACGGGAACGAGAACGAGAACGAGAACGAGAACGAGAACGAGAACGAGAACGAGAACGAGAACGAGAACGAGAACGAGAACGAGAACGAGAACGAGAACGAGAACGAGAACGAGAACGAGAACGAGAACGAGAACGAGAACGAGAACGAGAACGAGAACGAGAACGAGAACGAGAACGAGAACGAGAACGAGAACGAGAACGAGAACGAGAACGAGAACGAGAACGAGAACGAGAACGAGAACGAGAACGAGAACGAGAACGAGAACGAGAACGAGAACGAGAACGAGAACGAGAACGAGAACGAGAACGAGAACGAGAACGAGAACGAGAACGAGAACGAGAACGAGAACGAGAACGAGAACGAGAACGAGAACGAGAACGAGAACGAGAACGAGAACGAGAACGAGAACGAGAACGAGAACGAGAACGAGAACGAGAACGAGAACGAGAACGAGAACGAGAACGAGAACGAGAACGAGAACGAGAACGAGAACGAGAACGAGAACGAGAACGAGAACGAGAACGAGAACGAGAACGAGAACGAGAACGAGAACGAGAACGAGAACGAGAACGAGAACGGGAACGGGAACTGGAACGAGAACGAGAACGAGAACGGGAACGGGAACGAGAACGAGAACGAGAACGAGAACGAGAACGAGAACGAGAACGAGAACGAGAACGAAAACGAAAACGAGAACGAGAACGGAAACGGGAATGAGAAAGAGTCGATAAACGAGCTGTTCCCGCCAACTTTAATCGAGTTTCGCACGGCGAGTTTCAGAAAGACGATCCATTGAAATCTGGCAGATTCTATTTATCCCGAAGCTTTTTACGCTTCTTTTTCAATTACCGGTTTCGATCATGCTCGATGAAACAATCTGGACAGTCTCCCCCCAGAGCCCGTTTTTCTCTCCTGCGCTATAATAATCAAACGCGGGTAGTCTACCGTCCCGATGTTATTCGGCTCAAGCTCCAACGAAAACATTTCACGGTGTGTTTGTTTGAAGAAGAAGCCGATGGCTTCCCGCGCGTTTCTCCATTTCTATCGGGTCACTGAGATTTCGCCGTTTAACTCGATTCGCCGAGATATCAACCTCGGCAGTTTATCTCAATATTTTTACTCGAAACAGAAATCTCGTTGTCTCTCTTCCTATTAATTCTTCTCTGCACGGCGATTCGCGATGGGACTAAGTTCAATATGTAGGTGTATTTATAAATCCGATTCAAATTCAGTACCAAAGATTCTTTTCGTCAGACTCGAATATTTTTCATATAATGGTTAGTTCATTGCGCATACGTATTTGCGAACTGTTCGACCTTCGCAAGCTATTTCGGAACCTCAAAATGAGTACACTGGTCCCTCGATTTACGCGGAGTATCCGTTGCACGTGAACTCGTTTCACGTGAATGAAAATCGCGTAAATAAAGTCTATCCGTATAAAACGAAATTATGTACACACATTGACGATCGACACAACGTAATGTGCTTTTATCCTTATCTCGTATAGCACCGACGCGACTGGCCGCGTAAATTAAGATCGCGACCGGTGTATTTGCAAGCCTGAAAAATTTATTTACATTCGATATTAAAACCTTATCGACTACTAATCGACTCACGAGCGTCGTATATCAATTTTATCTTATTACTCGCACTTA